GTGTCTGTGTGTCTGTGTGTGTGTGTGTGTCTGTCATATGTGATGCATATGAAAGCCGGAAATAAGCTTGTTGCATAAATGAATTTGGCTTGCTGCACAGTATAATTTTTGTTTGTTTGTTTAGTATTTTTATTTAAAAAAATGTTTTTTTTTAGTTTTTTTTTTTTGAGCTAGCCAGTCACTAGTAATTGTATTCTTTTGTTGCGTGGAAGAACAGCTCGTTCTGCTAATCATCTTGTATTTTTCCCACTGGTCTTCTGAAGTCTGTGATGTTTTCAGGTCTGGAGGGAAATACTGAATTAACTCCTGCAGGAGAAACTAAAGGAGACGAGGAGAAGAAAAAGAAGAAAGACAAAGTAATTTCTCCTGTTCATTGAGACTGCCTCTGCTCTATTATATGAATGACCTTACTTTTTTAATTTTTTTTTTAGTTTCCAGGATAATGTCTCACATTTTGTTTGCTCGCTTTTTAGTGCTTACTTTTTGCTCGATTAATTTTGATAATTTTTCCCAGGATGCAGCTGCAATCAGTTCAGACAGCGAGAATGAAAAGAAGAAGAAAAAGAAGAAGAAGAAGAAGAAAAATAAAAAGAAGCAGAAGAAGGATAAGAAAAAGAAGAAGAAGATGAAGAAGGTATGAAGCGCAGAGGTTTGAAAGCGTTTTATTTTCACAGTATCTGTCTGGAATCTGAAATCTCTGTATCTTCTGTGTTTCTTAGGATTCCAGCTCATCTTCCTCCTCAGACAGCGAGGATGATCACAAGAAGAAGAAGAAGAAGAAGAAGACCAAGAAGAAGAAGGTACAGCAACAAGCATTTTTGTGTGTTGATTAGTTGTTTAATGGATGCTGCTTTTATTCCCACACTATAAAACATTTTTTAAAAGATAATTACTTTTTTTTTTTCCCTCAATTTTAAGTTTACATTTTTTTTAAAAGGTAATTGTGACTTATCTCACAATTTAGTTTTTATATCTCCTAATTCTCAAACTTAAACTTATTTTATTTCAGCTAGCTGTCAAAGGACCATTTCTCATTTTCATTAAGTTAGACTTGACTTACTAAAATAACTGAAATAAAAACTTATAAAAACGATAAAAAAAATGGAAAATACAAAATAAATTTTAATTCAAAATACTAAAAAAAAAAACCACCTACGTATTTATTTTCATAATTACAAGTTTATAGCAATTCTGAGGTTTTTCTTAAAATTGTGAGAAAAAGTCACAATTACCTTTTTTATTATTTTTTTTAACCTGTGGCAGAAATCAGTTTCAATAATGCTTGTTTAATGCAAGTTAATCTTCATCTCTTCTCTCTTTTTCAGGAATCAAGCAGTTCTTCCTCTGACAGCTCCAGTGAAGATGAGAAGAAGAAGAAGAAGAAGAAGAAGAAAGACAAAAAGAAGAAAAAGAAAAAGGAAAAGAAGAAGGTACAATGCAGCCTGAAGGCTTATAAAGTTCTAGAAATCATTACATTTGTGTGTTTTTCATTAAATGCAGACAAAAAGTCATTAAAGTCAACAAGAGACGACGTAAAATAAATGGGACTCATTTTGATTTCATGTTAATGTTTAAGAGAAGTTTATCTGTCTCTTATAAGTTTATTGCCATGTGGCAATTAAAGCAGCAGCTCTTAAAGCAATACGCCCCAAGAAGCCGTGGTTTACAGTGAATTTATAACAGCTAAGGGGCGTTGTCCTAAAACCCCCTTAGCTGTTATAAATTCACTGTAAACCACGGCTTCACGGGGCTTATTGCTTTTATAAAACGGTTATTCCATATACGTAGTAAGGTTTCACAAAATAAAACAGAGCAAATAAAGTGTAATGATATTAATAAAAACAGTATTCTTCCACCAAACAATGTAGTTCCTCAGAATCAGTTGTGGTTCTAACAAAGTGGTTGCCGAGCAAAAGACAAACGTAAACAAAGGTGTGTGTTTGTAGAGTAATTTACAACAGCTTTGAACGTGGCTCAGCCAATCAGAATCAAGGACCGGAACTCTCTGTTGTATAACTGTTCATAATAGACACAATACGTCTGACTCACATCTCTCAATGACTGTAGTTTGAGTTCAAAGTGTTGAAACCAAATTCACAAGTTGAGCTCATTATAACTTGCTTACAGGATTCAGGAGGTGAGTCTGAATCAGACGGAGAGAAAAACAAGAAGGTAAGGAACAGGACAGACATCAGCTGGAGTCTGGGTCTCATCTCATTTGCGTCTCTATCTCAGGTGAGTGAGTGTCGATGTAACTCAGACGCTGTTCATCTTCTGTCTGTCAACAGCACGATGGAAAGCTCACAGAAGACGCTGGCACTGCCACTTCATCTTCATCTGGTGAACGCTTTAGTTTCTATTTCTTTAGTGTAGTTTAACTCTGTTCAGATCTTTTAACTCCTGGGGATTTAAAAACTTTTACCAGGATTCCCACGGTCATGAATATTAATTTTTTTTAAATTGTGTTTTTATAGTTTGGAGAACTCATAAAAACGTCTCTGGTTACGTATGTAACCATGGTTCCCTGAGTAGGGAACGAGACACTGCGTCCTCTAGGGGTCGCTATGGGGAACGCCTCGTCATGACCCGTGTCTGAAGCATACATTGAAAAAACACCAACAACAAGTCGGCCGGCGACAGCCATGACGTCACTACCGTGTGACTACTGTGTGACTATAGTATAAATAGGCACCGGGAGCACTGGCTAGCAGTAAGTTACCTAGCTGAGGGAGAAACACACCTAGCTCTCAGTCGAGAGGGGGCTCGACCTACAGCATGTTCGTTAGAAATCAGAAGGGTAAGCGTACTGCAAGCTTAGCCAAAAACTCAGCGCACCAGGGAGGCAGAGGAAGGGCCTAGTTCGCCTAATGTTGCCGGTTCCAGGTGCTATGGGAAAAACAGATAACTCAACTCTCACGTGAGAGGAGAACTCTGAATTCAGAAAGGAGTAGCGTGCTCATAGGCAACTCTTTGATAAAGGGGAGCACTGCTAAACACTACCACGAGAACAGCCCACGGAGCGAGGAATCCAACTCCTCAGAAAGGGAGAGAATTCAAACGCTCGAAAGAAAGCACCAAGCTCACAATAACCCTCAATGGTGAGGGGAGCGATGCTTCAAAAGTGTGTCAACAGAGACACACTGGTTGAGTGGAGCCCAAGTACTGGAGTCTAAGCCAACTCAGAGAAAGGGAACGAGGCTAATAACGCATAACCCTTACCATACAGGATTTCAGAAAAGTGGGCAAAACATAACATAACTGTTCACAGATGCCCGGAAGTACTGAGCAAAACGAGAGAGGCAAGCTCAAATACAACCCTCTAAGGTGCCGGGGGCCTGATGATCAAGAAGGCTCCCGCAGAAGCCTGTGACCTGGCCGCATGAAGCCGAAACCAGCCCTATCATACCGGCTGGACATCATATCAACGAGTGAGATAAACTCTGCAAGTCGAGCACCTGGTTTCTGAATCCAACAGAGGGGGTGCTCACTGAGGACCTAGGAATCGATGGATGCGTGAGGAAAACGGCCTCTTCCATTCCTTCTCGATCTCTGTATGGAGATCAGGAAGAAAAGAAGGCTCACCTGACCTGGAGGGTTATGGCCAGAAAGATAACGTTCAAGTAAAGCCTCGCCGTGGTGCGATCCATAACTTTCAAAAAGCTCATCATACGCAGGGCAGGAGGATTGGGAAGGCTCAGCCTCAGCTTCTTCGCCCTCCTCAGACATGTCCTGCTCTTCCTGGGCTGAACCCAACAGAGCACTGGCCCCTGGATCAGACGATGTTAATGAAATAACATCATCCTCCAGCGGCTCATTCTCGTC